TTTACACGGATCCGTTCCCTACCCTCTATTGATGAAACATGAAACATGCTTAGAGTTTGTTGCACTTTGGAAGATTTCATGTATACTATAAACATATATCGGTTCTCAAGCCATACATAGTAATGAGAAGTCAGCTGATATATGATCCAATAATAAAACTGAAGAATCTTATTATCTGACAGATTTTCACCAAGTTATGACATCTTATTGTTTATATTGATGTTGAAGAAAACCGGCCTACTTACAATAGTGTGGGTATGCCATCAAGCCCTCGCGTGTACCGTCCGAGCCTTTGGAGACAAATTCGGGGGTTAGCTTTTAAGTCCACAGTAGTAGTATCCGCCTCACTTGGTGTTGCAATAACTGGCTATATAGTCTTTAAGCTCGGCAAGCACTATCTTTTCGACTATTCAACTTATAAAAATCAAAGAAGAGATTACGCCCAAGCCGTATTGGAAAAAGAGAGACGGGAAAAAGAACTTGGTCTCCGCGACTAGGGCCATCCTGCATGCTACCGCCTTTCCGATCTTTGTTAAAGCTTATTCTTCCTCGTTTGAATATGTCAGACAAATTGATAGCGCTTGGCAAACGTGTGCGAGAACTTGAAGATGCCACTCTAGACCCCAAAGTACCTAAACTTGACGAAAATGTAAAAAGCACTGATAAGCGACGGAATTGTGCTATCTTGATGATGTACTCTGGTTGGGACTATTATGGAATGCAGAGGTGGGTGTTTTGTTTTTATAGTATCCCATCATTTTCATTCTCGTGCTCTTATATTCGTTTTGGCACATCCTGATAGCAACATTCGACGCAAACGCGTAGACAGTGCGCGTAAAATTGCATCGGCAAAACTAGTGAAACACGTAAAGTGTTGTGGTGCAGCTGACTCGGCGCGTGTTTGGCCTAATTTGGCCAACGCCTGCGCTCGTTAAGCCTGAGGCTTATTGTTTTTTTCTGTCGAAATTGTGGTCCCAGCATAATCGTCTCACGGGTAGAAAGGAGAGTAGCGGTCGAAGAATAGGCAGAACATACCTAGACTTGCCAACCGCGCGAATCACTTGAGGAGGGGGAGTGATGGTGTAGCTGCTATTCGTACTTTCGTTACACATAAACCGGCAAACTGTAGAGAAGTGCATGACTGCCGCCGTCGCCGACTGGCGTAAGACTTCTGCTGCCGATGGGCACAGTGAATATTGGTTTTGTTTTCAGAGTCATGTATTGTTGAAGGAAACGTGAATCGGACAACCGTTCCCTTGCCAGCGTTTTTGAATACGCCGTCATTTAGGTCCTAACGATAGTACAGAATTCCTAAATAAAAGACGGCATTCCTATGTTTGACAACCGTGTTAAGAATACTGCCCCACTGTATCAGTATGCCAAGGATGCTGCTCCAAATTCCTTTTTACTGGAGTCTTTGGTGTCAGTTCACACCAACCACCTATCGGTATACTCTGTGCTACGGTGAGGCAACCTAAAATCTGGCATTTATTGTCTGAGTTCATAGTTCGTGTAATGAACGTACGCAGGGTGACCGAACGGCAAGGAGAATATACCTTCACAGTTAAACTGTTCTTGTTTGCAGACTCAGGACGTAATATTAGCGTAACATGTCTTAATAAGGAACTAAAAATACTCTGGTAAAAGATATAAGTAAAGCTGGAGGACACTGGAAAATCTGAATAAGTTTGTTTAGACACAGGATAGGGGAGTGTTGTCTGAAAAGTGGACTTTTGAATAAAAATGCACCCGTTGAAAAAGTGACAAGCGGGGTTTCAGAGGAACCGAGTCACTCTAAATTGCTAACTTAAATCCTGTCAGCAATTTCCGAAAGACGGAAAACGTGTGGACTAGAGACTTTTTAGGACGTGGCTGAACCGTCTGTGTCCACTTCACAGGAATCTTCGACCAGTTGCACCTCCTCGACTACGCTAAGAGGTGCCCTTTTATGAGGTATCCAAAGACATCTCGGTTTCGGTCTCGATCTTCTTGCCAGGGGACGCAGGGGGTAGGGCCAAAGTCTTAGGCGTAGTCAATTTGCTGCATTCGGTTTTAAAAATATATTTTGTAACTATTATAGGAGTTATTATATCACGCGAAGAATTACTTTTGTTTCTTATCCTCTCAAATAGAAATGCGGGTTTCCGCACGATTGAGGGTGACCTGTTACTGGCTTTACATAAATCAGGATTAATATCGAAAGATCACCTAGACAACCCTTCTCTGGTACGTCATATTTTCAATGGCCTATATAAAATCGGTGACAGACTTTTGTACCTCCAAACCCACTGCGCAGTATTTTATATCCAGTAGTCCATAAATACGCAATGGTACAATTTATCCTGTAATCTCTTGTTTTTTTACAGGCCTTTACCAAATAGTTTAACGAGAAAGTAGGATTTCTCTGTGAACACATGCATTGTCCTCGTTTTAACGCATTTTCAAGACTGCTGGCCATGGTGTACTCAAGTCTTTTCACTAGAGACGTTGAACCTAAGGACTGTATTAAATATGGACCACACTGTCTCATCCGGCATAAGTGCCTCAAAGAACATCATAATTCATGAAAATATTCATTGAACCGCGCACGAAGAAGAAAAACAATTCTCCAATGATACCGGAACCCTACTGACTGCGGGCAGCGCCATGCCACCACACAAAGATTCAATTGCACTATCTAGTCGTCCTTCTTGGATGACCGAAGACATTGTCCATAGGACTTTATTGTAATCGGAATATGCACAATCTGTCGATTGGGTAAACATAAAATAAACAGACAGAAGAGTCCAAACTGAGGAGTACCCTAGAAGTAGGCTTTTTCATCATACAATTGACGTATTGGAACTAAAACAAAAAAACAAAGTAATAAGTTAGCATGACAGATTTTTAATAGAAATGGCCCGGTTTCTTGGAGACCAAGTGTGCGTACTTTATTTGAAGGGTAACTCTCAACAACTGGCGGGAAATCGCTAGTTTCCGCTATTTTTACGTGCGCAGTAGCTATACGCACATGTAACACATTGTGGCGATTGACATCTCACAAAGCAAGAATAAAAAGCTGCGAAGGCATTAGCACTCAATCATTTTTCATGAAGGCACACAACTCCTGTTTTTCTCTGCATTTTCGATGACAAAATTGTTCTTATTTAGTAGCTCTCGTTACAGTTAGAAACACTTTTAATCGAACGAACAATTAAGAATGTGGGCGAGTTTCCAATTGAACCTAGATGTTGCGTGCAACTCTTTTGGAAGTGGTCATGTAGTTTGTTGAATGGCACAGAGAAAGTTTGCAGCCTGGAAAATGTTCTTACGCTGCAGCTGTCCATTCTGCGCATACACACGAGTGGTCGCTTTGCGCGAGTCCTTATTTCCATCAAAAATAGATGGCATAAACCGAAAAGATATCAGTTTATCGGAAGAAGACCTGGCAACTTGATGCACGAAGCAAGAACATAGTCATATTTTTGCTAGCAGGAAGAAAGTGGCGGTCCAATTTTCCAAAACTTCGCCATGCGCTTCCAGCAGAGCATTACTCAGACTGAAAATTGGTTCTCATTGTTAGTGAAGTAAAAGGCATAGAGTAGATTCTGCTTAATTGAACCAATGCGCATTTGAAGTTTGTTTCATCTAAATGAACTCCCCATACGACTTCAACGATTAGGGAGTTTACTCGTATTCTAGGGAAAACTTTAGGCTTAAGCTAGTGTCGTACTTCCGTAGTCTGTTGTAGTTTACATTAGAGCTTAATCGGCTGTTAGATGCAGACTCGACAGTGTCCCTCACATCTACCGCGAGTGCATCGTAGAATTTTATTTTATTTGGTGGATACTCGCAATGATAGTCTCCTAAGGACAGTACTTACATAATTGACTAGTTGAACGTGCTACCCTTGCTCTCTTCACGTGATATCAGCTCCTACTAATTAACCTCTTATTCCCCTATTGTAGATTCATTTCCAGCGTGCGTCTAAGACCGACAAACATGTGTCGGCTGTCGGCCAAGTCTGCAACGCCAAGGTAAGCAGACCCATACCTCGGAACTTCTTTCAGATTCCCATTGCCGACGAACCTCTTGTGGAGAAAATCAATGAACATCTTCCACAGCAGATTCGTATCCTAGGTAAGCAGCATTGTTTACTGTTTTATATCTTTTTACGACGGGACCTATCCGTAAATTACAAAGTCAGCTTGAAGTTCAAAGTATATTGAAAACGCTAATTCTGCGTACATTTCTATCAAATCAATTCTTATTATAAAGAGGACGCTATCAAGGGCCTTATTGCTTTTTCTGTTACTCATCATCCACAGAATTCTCGAAGTTGAGGTCTATCCTAGAGAGCCTTTGGCTAGTTATTTCCTTAGATTCCTACAATGCATAGTTATCCACCAGTGCGCGTGGCGAGTTGATATCTCTAGTTAAATCGGCTTT